ATCGTAGTCTGATCTTAGCCATTCCTTCCAGTCAGTCTTCGAATGCCCCAGAATCGATGAGTCTTGTCGTGCCATTCACATTACACAGGTATCGTTGAGCCAAAGTTGGAAGATTGAGAGGTGGAGAAATTGTGTGGTATGTTGTCGTGGTTGCATCAACCGAAAAATTTGATTACTTTTTCAACGAAATATTTCGCAATGCGGTTAACAACTTTTATCAATTTCTTTAATCCGTTTTAATATCGCCTCACTCGCTCTTAACAAAAGGGGACAATTTTTAAAGCACTCAAACGTTTTTGAACTTCCTTTTATTATTATAGATGTAAACATCATCCAAATCTTTCTCCATTCCATGACAGTCTTTATCTTGTCAACGCTATTAGGATTGGTTTTTAAAGTTATTATTATTTCAATTGATATTTATTAACAACACCTTATTTGACTTCGGTTTTTACATAGCAGGGGGGGGGGGGGGGACTGGGGAGGTTCATATATATGGGCTTTAGGACACTTAATAGTATTTTATTAGTAATTTTCTGGCTTCCCACTATCTCTGGGTTTCCGTCGTTGTCTTCAGAGCTGGACACTGAATCAGGTGAGTCTTCTCCATTTCCTCCTGTTGGTCACAGACGGGGACATGTTGGATGTGTAAACACTCCTTTTCTGCAAAGTTGCTTCGACCGGAAATCGTGTCCGGTACGTAATCTAAACTCAGCAACGGTTTTGTTTCTTGGCCAGTCGGCTATGTCGAAGAGTGCCACTATCCACTGTTTCTCCTCGGTTCGAGCATTATGTTCGAGGCACCTTGAGGTCTTCAATTCTCTCCTGATTAAGGTCTTCATTGTGTGGAAGGATATCGGCTGGTCGTTGCCTTAAAAGGTGTTGTCCCCTTCTTAGCAAATGCGTCAGCGCACTCATTGCCCTTAATACCGCAGTTTCCAGGGATCCATTGTAAAATCGCCGTTTTGACTTTTCTCTCAGTAACTGATGCAGTTATTACATTCTTGAATCTCAGCTGTTTTGGGTGGCTCCCCGTTTCCAAGTAAATATATTGCTATACAATTAAACCAGTGTAATCTTAATGGTCTCTACTTCCCCTTCGAATACGAATCTATTGTGCCCCACTTCTGTAAAGAAAGAGAGTAGTTCAGAGTAAACAGCTGCACTAACGTTTGCTTGATTTTCTATGTATGACCCATCAATGAAGACTTGGATCCATTGATCAGCAGCATAATTGGCATTGGTTACATTAATGGCCAGTGAGCGCATTTGTTCTGAGGAAGTGTTTGCTCTCCTGAAGTGATCAAGTTGTTGGGTGCAATATTTTACATCAATGTCTGCTAATGGGTTTTGGAGAGGAGAGACGCGTTTTGTCTTTCATCTATTTGTAATGCTTTCTTCAGTTTAATGGCTTTCTTTATTCGACCAGATTGCATTTTTAGGTGTCTTGGCCTATTTTCGTAGGTGCTGAAGAATTTGTCCACGGGAATACACAGTAGCTTCTCATACAGGATCAAGGCCTTCTCTTTGATATGGAAACGTTTTGTGGTGCTCCCTGTGACCGGGAGCATTGTATCAACGGCTGTTGATTTTATCCATTCAAAATCACCTCATAGGCTGTAGTTTGTGGCTCACAGCAATACAGCAATATTGGTTGAACAAACGTCTTGTAAGTGGATGTTAGGGTTGAACGTGCGCAACCCCATATGCTATCAACGAAGCGTCTCAGTACGTTCGGTCTATTAGAGACTTTCTGCTACTTTATCAATGCGGCTTTTTCATGCTAGCTTTGTGTCAAACGTCATTCCGAGATAAGTGAACGCTTTGGTTTTTTCTAGGGAAGTAACCTTGTACCATAAATGCGGGTTTATGCTGTGGCGGGCCAATGAAATGTTTAAAATGAGATTTTTGAGGTGTAGATAATGGTTCTATTGTTGTCGCCTCAGTTAGCTCAAAGTTTAAGGGCCCAATTTAGGGCATTTTTCGTCCTCTTTTCTTGAACGCGGAATACCACAGAACAAGATCATCTGCATAAAGTAATCATTTGATGCCCATGACTGTCTTTACCAGTTCGGCTATTTCATTAAGGAAGACGTTTAAAAAGATTAACATTTGACAGCTTCCTGTTATAGGTTTGTTTTTAAAAGATGATTTTTGGACCTAGCGTTTTCGTATCTGACTTTACATGATCTTTGACCAGTGAATGCTTTTATCCAGTTTAGCTTGTTAGTTTCAATACCAATTTTTTCCAATTTTGGAATTAGGTTCTCTTTCCCTACTAATTAAAAATCTGATTTGAAATGGAAATAGAACTCCTTGCATCGAGGGCATCTTTGATATGTTTGGAGAGAGAGTGACTACTTGTTGGTTTGTTGATCTTGGTGTCGTAAAGGAATGTTGTTGGCTTCAAGGAACTAGGTGGGCCTCGTGTTAAATATTCATTTCAGAAGTAAAGCCAAGATGCTTGTGAAAGAGATGGGCTTATAATTGTCAAAGTTGCAAGGGTCTTTGCCATATTTTAGTACTGGTATTACTATGGCAACTTTTCATTGTTTAGGTACGAGACTGGTCTCCCAGATTTTGTTGAAAAGCGTCAGCATGATTTCCTTGGCTTTTGATCTCATTCTAATTAGAAATTACGGATGAATACCGTCTTCGCCAGGAGACTTTTTGCGTTTTAACCGTTTTATCGTAACATTAAGAGACGCGTTTTGTCTTTCATCTATTTGTAATGCTTTCTTCAGTTCAATGGCTTTCTTTATTCGACCAGATTGCATTTTCAGATGTCTTGGTCTATTCTCATAGGTGCTGAAGAACTTGTCCATGGGAATGCGCAGTAGCTTCTCATACAGGATCAAGGTCTTTTCTTTGATAAGGGAACATATTGTGGTGCTTTCTGTAACTAGGAGCATTGCATCAATGGGTGTTGATTTTATCCCTCCAGTTATTAGTCGTAATGCTTGGTTGTGTGCCTTCTCGGGTGGTTTGAGAGTCACTTCTGTGGCTGTAATGAGTGGCTCACAGCAATACAACATTATTGGTTGAATAGACACCTTGTAAGTGGTGTTTAGAGTTGATGGGGCACAGTCCCATACGCTACCAGCAAGACGCTTCAGGAAATTCAGTCAATTGGAGACTCGTTCTGCTATTTTAGCAATGTGACTTTTCCACGTTAGCTTTGTGTCAAACGTCATTCCGAGGTATGTGAACTCATTGGTTTTTTCTAGGGTAGTATCCTAGTACCTTAGAAGCGGGTTTATGCTGTGACAGGTCAAAGAAAAAGTTTGGAATGCAGTTTTTGCAGTGCTGATTACCATTCCATTGTTGTCGCACCAGTTTGCTAGTAGTTTAAGTGCACAATTTAGGGCACTTTCTGTCCTCTCCTGAGCGTTTTTTCTTAGAGGCGGAATACCATAGTACCAGATCATCTGCATAAAGTAAGCACTTGATGCCCGTGACTGTCTGTACCAATTCGGCTACGTCATTGATGAAGACATTGAAAAGAGTACAGCTTGTGACAGCTCCCTGTGGAAGGCCTGTNGTTTCTTTAAATCTCTTGAAGATTTTCTGACAAAAGGGTTTTTCTTTTGCTTGTGGGAATAGAACGTCGCAAAGCCGTTAGCCATTTTGGAGTCCGTGTTAAGCTGTTTGTTTTTAAACGTCTTGGTTCTTTCTTGGGTCTGCCCCTGTTGATTTGGAGGTTACCCAGGAATTTGAAAGTACGTTGGCTATCAATTTGATAGTTGATATTTGAGATGAACTTGTCGAAGGAAGTCCGTTTAGCTTGTAAGATGGCTTGCCTTAGGACAGCTGATTGTCGTCTCCAGGCTTTTACGTCTTCCGTTCTTCCAGTCTGATCAGCAGTGTTGCGAAGGCCGTCCCGCTTTCTTTTCAATTCCTCAGGGTGCTTAGACCAAAACACTCGATAGTGTTTAGTTTTGCCTCGAGGAATAGTTTTCTTTGCACATCTGATCGTAATATTCGTGATATCCGTGCAAAGTTTGTCAGGATGTTGGTTGAAGTTGAGGTGACTTGTGTGAAGTTCATTGTCTAAAATGTTAGTGAATCTAGATAAGTCAGCCTTCTTGAAGTTCCATGATAGCTTAGTTGGCACTTTCCTTGACAAGCTTTAGCTGCCGATGGTAATACTAGCAAAGACTGGTTTGTGACCAGAACCAGGATCGTCAATTATTTTGCGACGCGTATGCTCGCTGATGTCGCTTGAAGCCAAGAGTAAATCAGGAGTTGTTCTGGTTCCATTGTAGTGCAAATATGTAGCCGGATCCTCATTGCTGTAAATAAGTTCCAGGCGGTTGCTGTTTAACATGTCTTCAATTTCCTTTCCAGCTACGTTTGTATCCTTGTAGCCCCATCTGGTGGAATGGGCGTTGAAGTCTCCTAATACTATAGTTTTGTGTGAGGTGTTCAGAAATCAAAGTTGGGACAATTCTGGGGTGGATTATAGACTGCATATATCTTGATGTGGTTTTGACATTTCCAAAAATTTAATCTGATTATTTCACATTTGACTTGTGTCGAGCCCATACTCTTGATTAGATCGTAGTGTAAGGTGAGGCCTTCTTTTACTCCAGTCAGAATTCCACTTGCAACTTGCTGGTATTTAGGTAGAAGGAACAGGGTGTAACCTGGGAACTGGTAGTACTACAGTTTGTCATCCGAAAGGTTTGCTTCCATCATCGTGAAAATGTCTACGTCATAGGTAAGTAGGATTTTCTGGACTTGGATCTTCTTGTCCGGTGACATTCCTCCAGCATTCCACTGGAGGATCTGAAGGAGTTGTGACTCGCCCTGACGAGGGCGATTTTTCTGATAGCCTTTTTTCAAGCTAATCATAATAAATCGTAGTCAAAATCGAATGCCGAGTGATAGACTTTTTTGCCGTAAGAAAATACGTTTTCCAGGGTGCACCACGTGGAGGTAAGTCTATCGCGCACCCCTGTTTCAGCAAGTACATTGTGTGGTATTGCAGTGTGATTCTTAATTTTACCAAACTGTCCTTATTGTGTCTTTACATCTCTTGAAGAGTTTCTGACAAAGTGGTTTTTCTCTCGCTTGTGGGAATAGAACCTGGCAAATTAGTTAGCTATTTCGGAGTGAGTAGTGAGGAGTTTGATGTTTAATCTTGGTGGTTCTTTCTTGGGTCTTTTCTTGTTGTTTTGGAGGTTACCCAGGAATTTGAATGTGTTTTGGTTATCATTTAAATAGTTGATATTTGAGATGAAGAAGTTGTCGAGGGTAGTTCGTTTGGCTTGTAAGATGGCTTGTCTTAGAACAACTGACTGCCGTCTCCAGCCTTGTACGTTTTCAGTTCTTCTAGTCTGTTCAACCGTGTTGCGAAGGGCGCACTTGTGTTCATATCATAATATCTTCGTTGCGTTATTTATCATACACAAGCGAAACACCGTAAAGTGTAAAGTGTAAAGAAGTAATGCACAACAAAAGAACGCACTTAACAGATTGATGACTATCGTTTAGAGGGAGAAGGAAGGAGAGAGGGAGAGTGGGGAAGAGTGAGAATAATACTTCTATTTGCAAGTACTCCGGCTTTAGCACAAATTCATATTATCTTCTTTAATTAACTTCGATTTTAAATTGTTTAACACAACTCCACATTATACAACTCTTCTCATCTAATCACCCATAATTTCAAATCTATTGCCCATGCAATAATGCCTTTCCTCTGTTTGTTCACTGATAACATTGTTTCGTCTTCTCTGCACCACTAATTATTAGACTGGGTAAGATGCATGCAAGCGTTGCCTATTCTGCTTTACTCGTTTTGCACTTGCATTCGTCCAAAAAACCACTACATGAGGGTATTTTATTCCATCAAAATGACAAATTGGTAAATTAAATTTTTCTCATCGTAATATGCCATCGGATTCTTTTTATCCTAAGAGGTGGACATCAATTTGCTCATTTTAGAGTAAGTAAGTTTAAAATACTTCAATTAAAATTTCTACTTTGAAGGTCATGGTCACGCGTAATCAACTTTTTTATGGCCTATGCAGTGCACAGTAGAAGGGAAATGAACTCAATCGCTTCTATTTACTTCTATGACGACGGAAATAAGTGAAGCTTTCTAATAAACATTTCCTCCTTATCTTGTACAGCGAGTTAATTTCAAATTCTCCATAAAGGGGGTATTTTCGTTAAATCGCATGCGTAACACACAATACAAGGTAATTGTCATTAACTCGATATTTAACAATATTAAGCATCGATTCTTGGTTTCTCGCATCATTTCCAAAAGACCAACATATGAGACCTGTTTCATATATTTTCCCACAGCGTTTCCAAGAGAGCTCATGGAAGTTAAGTAGAAGAAGAACTTAGCAATTTCGACTCCGACATAAGCTTCACAGCTTCTGATTTGATTAGAGATTACTGGCGAACAGCAATTGCTAGATCTCCTCCTTATCATCAATAGGCTGATAGAAACCATTATATATTTAAACGGAAGGACTGGGGCACTACTTGCCTGCCCCAATAAACTGCACTGGCAATGAAAACATGATTTCACAGTTCCAATCCCCAAAAGTCCACTCCTATAGATGAAAGGCGCCAATATGAGAAAACTGGATAAAATGAGTGGCAAATTTATAGCAATTGCAAATTCCATCAAAATGACGAAGATATCAATAATGGAATCAGTGAAGAAGGAAAGGTTTTGCTGTGGTTAGTATTTGTATTATAAAGAACAACGTCCCTTTGCAACGTTGGCAAATTCCCATCGATTGAATAACGTAAACCTCATATGTTCAGTGATGCAGATTCCAAATGAGTTGAATCAATTTGAAATGATAACTCGTCCCATATTGACACAACAACTTCTTCCACTGGCACTGAAAAATATGATTTCTCAGTTCCNTGGATAAAATTGGTAGCAAAGTTATTGCATGTTCACAAGTAGTTCTTAGAGTGTGAAATAAGCAGTTTGGAAATCCTCGTCAAATTCATGACATCAGACCAAGCTCAAGAGGTAGTCGAAATTCACTGGTCAGACTAAGTAAATTGTCAGAAGGTCACTGGATATTTAGGACATATTATCGTTAGGTGGCTCAGGTGAAAAGGTGCCTTTTTGAGTCATAAAGCGTGAATTAATGAGACCCGTGCCCTACTACCTATTTGTGTCCCTGTCTGCTTGACATTTGCTGGTACCTTCGTTAATGTGATGTCATTTACGTAGTCATGATTCATCATTGTGGTAGTTATTTAGAGAGAGAAAATTACATGTTATATGGTAGAGCATTTGGTTTACACTTTCAGGCTGAATCACTAGTATTATGCCCGCAAAAGATTCGACCTTCAAACATATATTTTTTGAACATCTTAGGACTCCGAATAAAAAACGCCATTTTCAATTGTATTGAAAAGCCAACCACTCTCGAGTTTCACTAACTTATGGAAAAATCTTCATCGAACTATCAGCAGATAATGATTTGCCCAATCCCCTAAAGTTAACATTAATTTTGGGAATATAATGAAAAGTTGTGTTTTATCGTGCAAGGGAAAGACACTCTAGGTAGATTCATATTATTATTAAGTGTCTCTATAGGTAGTATTCGATGATTAGCTTCAGTTAGAGCTTGGAATAACATAAGTCCGTCTCTGTTGATCAACTTCGTATCATTTGAATTAATTGAAATTTATTTGAATAGTTAATTTACTTCCCAGTAGCGCTCTAAGATAGATGACTCAAAATGAGATAAGGCAGCTTTTCTTAAAAATCAACCGCTTTCTTTTCTTATTGATCACACTTGGGATAAAGCAGCCTAAATTACTTTAAATGAAAATTTCAATTTACTTAACTTTAATCAGTAGCGTGATAAATGTGAGATCTTGTCGCAAAGTAGTGTGTATTAGTTTTAAATCAAAGTTAAAATTCCTATTTTAGGCATCTATCAAAATTGACTCTTATTTTAGGCACATTTTACCACTCGTGTGACAGTTATTGAAGAAAATTGTGTGGAAATCCATCAATTTACAAAATATCGGCGATATTTTTATCTCCATCAAGTGGCGAGTGCATCTCACTTCGATTAACCTTGAAAATGCGCTTTCAAAAGTGGCGTGGGTTGTTCGTTTCACGGAGAGTAAGCGGATTGCATTCCAAAACACAGGGGTTATTGAGACTTTTGTTAGAATCCATAAGTTGTTGAAACGCGACGAAATCAATAAATTTAAAATTAAATTTCTCTGAACACTCCATTAGCACACTTTCGTTTAATGCCAGTTAATTTTTAAGTCTTTTGAAGCAGTTACTGTCTCTTATCTATAAGGCGAGATGTGGATTCCCTATTTGTGTCTCACTTCTATGTCTCAATAAATTAGTGAAATAGTAAAACAAATGAAAAAAATGAAGAAGAAAAATTCTTGGGAATAATTTACGTCAGAAATCAATTAAACACAGATTGCTTACTTATAAGTGTTAAGTACAGTAACTAACTAACGTATATTTACCAAAAAGCGACTTGGCTGTCAATTGCAATTTCATTTTTATCAGGTGGCTTAGGTAATGGCTTAGTGGCTGGCATGAAAGCAGCAGACATTTTAGACAAAGTTAAAACGTGAACAATAATATTGGTGCGTATGAGCAACACTTCATGGAGATAGATGTTGGCACAAAATCTAACTAACTTGGTTGTTTCGAAGACTCCGAGAAGAGCACAATAACAAAGAAAACTGCCAATTGTAAGTAATCACTTTACAAAGCTTCATCATTAATTCCTCGTTTACATTTCGCTTTTTTACGAAGTCGACTCCCAGTTATTCTGCCATCTAATTATAAAACTAACCAATATTTTTGTCTCACTTACCCACTTACTAACTTATGCATTCAGTCAAAAATGTGTCTCTTCCTAGGAAATATCGGTAAAATGTTAATATCATAACGTAAAGGTGTCATTTCAAAGTGGCAAACACTGTGTATGCAAATAATATTAGAATATCTGTATAATGATTCCGAAAATACTTTTAATGATTTAATGCTAACAAAATTCAACAAGTTCGTTTTCCCGATGATTATATTTCCATATACCTATCCACCCTATTTAGTTGCAAGCTTTTTTACGAAATGTATATTATAACTTTGAACAATATTGATTTGTAAGTTTGAGTACTTCTAGAGCTCTATCAAATTATTAGTGAGAGTGAACTCTAAACTAGGAAACTTTATTGAAGTCACCAAGCCAAGTGTCAGTAACAAAGAGAATGGTTGAGTAGTCTCTCAATTCGATTAACTGATCATTTCTTTTTAACATAAATATATGGGACGACAGTGTAGGGAGTAAAACCTAATACTGAGGTTGTTGGATTTTTTAAGGAATAGGCCAAGACCATAAATGAATGCGGACAGAACTATGTAAGAGTTAGCGAGAACAAAATCACAGATTATTTGAACAAAGTAATCTCTTGTGCGTTTCAACATTTTGAAACAGGCCATCGTGATGTTGATTGGGCTGATGAGCAATTACTGCCAAGTGTGTAAAAAGATGTCCACAAATCAGTGACTCCTAGTCATTATAGAGACAGCATATCCAAATCTACACTTTATTCGTGCATGGAAATTTGAGAGTGGTCTAATTGCACACGCGTTCTGGCAGCTGAATGGCCAAGAGCGAGCACACGCTTATCCTGATAGTAATTAGACTGCCACCCCAACAAATCGCTTCAAATATTCAACTGATTTTTACCCTTATATTGCGCTTATAACGTTTACGCTTCCGTAATGCATTAAAATAATTCTCAACCATCACAATTTAATGGCCATGAGTCGCATTTTACGAAATGCTGAATTTCTGCTACCTATAAATTGAATTGAGATGATTAGCCTATTTCAAGAATAAATCAACCATGGTGGTGGTTCTTAAGAGTCATATTTGGTTCAGAGAATATATACTTGAAGGTCAAGTATTTACGAGTAAGACACGGGTGATTCTACCTACAGGTTAAGCTAAAATGCTCCTCACACTAAAAAATCACCACAATGATGAATGTTGACTCATAAAAAGGAGACCAGTAAATGACACATGGACAGGCTCACAAATAGCTAGTAGTACTTCATACTTGTTAATTCACGCTTTATGACTCAAAAAGGCACATTTCACCTAAGTCACTAATCGATAAATGTACAGGGCTCATAAGCCAGTTGCCTCACTCTGACTGCTGGTCTTATCACTTCAATAAATTTTCACTTTCATACCTTGAGCAAGCAATTTGCTATTTGATGCAATGGCCAGCATGCATGATCGTGGAAACTCAAAACGAGAGTCAACGAGAAGCAGAATGATAGAAGTTGGTGGAAATGCTCCCTTAGTGGACAATTTTAGATGCTCACTCAAACACCAAATCAGG